ATGTAGCCAATCCTCCAAGACCAATCCTCCAAGAGCTTACAGGGCTCTTCTTACAGGGGCTACTGTAAGCTCTTGGAGGATTGGCTACATTAGGGGTGTGTCGCCTAATATGCAAAGGAGTTCCTGCTACAAGAAGAGCCCTGCAATGGGGAGGTTTCTCTGCCCCAATCAGGAAGAGAAGCCATGTTGGATCAGGCCAATGGCCCATCCTGTCCAACACTTTGTGTCACACAGGGGCCAAAATCCAGGGGCCATCAGGAGGTCCCCCAGCGGGGCCAAAACTCTAGAAGCCCTCCCACTCTTGCCCCCCAAGCACCAAGAAGACAGCATCACTGCCCCAGACAGAGTGTTCCATCTATACCTTGTGGCTAAGAGCCACTGATGGACCTCTGCTCCATATGTTCATCCAATCCCCTCTTGAAGCTGCCTATGCCTGTAGCTGCCACCACTTCCTGCGGCAGGGAATTCCACATGTGAATGACTCTTTGGATGAAAAAGGACTTCCTTTGATCTGCTCGAAGCCCCCTGCTCCTTAATTTCATGGAGTGCCCAGGAGTTCTTGTCTTGTGAGAAAGGGAGAAAAAGACTTCTTTTTCTACCTTCTCTATCCCATGCATAATTCTGTAAACTTCTGCCATTGATCTACGTACCTTCCAGTTTTGGTCCTAAGATTACAAGTACAATCGCCTTATCAGGGCCAGTGTAACATCAATGCATACTGGCAATATTACTTTCTCCAATATATGTAACTGCCACTGACACAGGCCAGATACATCTGTGGCCCCACAAGCAAAAATTTCTGTGTGTCGCTGAATTCCAGATTGGAAAATTCCATTTTGGTCCTATATTAATTGTTTACTGCCTTGACTGCTTTGTTGCAACTTGTATTCTGTACTAGGGGCCGCGGTGTGGCTCAGAGGTTAAGATACTGAGCTGCAGATTGGAAGGTCGGTAGTGCAGCAGTTCGAGACTGGAGTGCCACGTGACGGAGTGAGCTCCCGTCTCTGGCCCCAGCTCCTGCCAACCTAGCAGTTCGAAAACAAGAAATTGCAAGTAGATAAATAGGTACCGCTTTGGTGGGAAGGTAACAACGTTCCATGCGCCTCAGCGTTTAGTCATGCCGGCCACATGACCACGGAAACGTCTTTGGACAGCGCTGGCTCTTCGGCTTGGAAACAGAGAGGAACACCACCCCCTAGAGTCGGATTTAACTGGCTTTCGAGCAAGGGAAACCTTTATCTTTATTCTGTACTATTTGACGTCTGAAGAAGGCTCTTTTGGGCCGAAACACGTTGGGTCTGATATGGTTCCTTTTGTGTATTTGTCACTGCAATTACATTATGAGGCTCTACGTTTTTTTACTTTCTGAAACATGTGTACTTTGGAATATAATTATTGATGCTTTTAACTTTTAGCCCCTTCCTAGTTTTCTAAACTTCCTTACGAGGCTTTGGCTCTCGCTCGGTTGGTTTAGTTTCTCTTTCCCCTTTTTTTTGTGGGTGTAACTACATGCGTAACAGGCTCTCTGAATTCTCCGCTTCCACGGAAAAAAAGAGTTTCTAGCCCCTTTACTTGCAAGAGATGCCTTTTCCTTTACATCTCTGCAAAGGAAGGGGCTAGAGAAAGGGTCTCCAACCCTTTTGAGCCGGCAGGCACCTTTGGGACTCTTGACACCAGGTGGTGGGCACAACCACAGAAGTGGGCCGCCCCGGGAGATGATGCCTCCCGCAACGTGGCTGCCAGAAGAGGCAGAGCCAACCACAAAGTGCCAGGGAGAGATGCTACGCCGAACAGTAATCCGCCCACACTGCGTGCACAAGCTCGGTTTCAACAGGATGCCTTTTCATCTGCATAGCCAACCAGATCTCCAGTAGCCAACCGGAAGCCCTACTGGGCAAAAAGCCGCACGTGACCTGCTTTGGTGGGCACCAGAAAAGGTGTCGGCGGGCAACAGGGTGCCCATGGGCACCGTGTCGGAGACCCTGGGCTAGAGACGTACTCCTGCCCCCACACTGAGCATGGAACAGTCAGAAACGAGTAACGCATTCTGGAAGGCACCACTGAGCTTCAAGAGATTCTGATAGCAGGAGGCTTACAAACAGGTGTCGCTTGGCCTTGACCTTACCTGTCATCCCCCGAACCCTGCAGGGACTCCACCTCCAGGGGGCGCTCTGCCGGAAGACCATTCTCCTGGGAAGGAAGTGGTATGACATCATGAGCTCAAGTCTGCCCCTCTAGCCGTCGCTCTCACTTTCCGGAACTCCGCCGGGGGTTTCATGGCTATCGCTCATCTCCGAGCCTCACCCACACCCGGCTCCCCTTCTGCCCCAAAGCTCTCACTTTGACCTTTACTTGAGACTCTCCGGAGGGCGTTGAGATCTTTCCCGCTTGCTGTAATGTGCAAATCTCGGCTTGCAAGGAAAGCTTCTCCTTCTGCAGGGCCTTGTTGGCTTCTTGGAGCGCCTTCAGGTCTTCCTCCAGCTTCTCTTTCTGCTGTTTCGGCATTTCCGGGACCTGGCAAGGCACCAGGAAAGAGAAGGAAGTGTGGGGCTGGGCGTGGGAAGTTACAACAAGCAAACTCCACTGGTCTGACCGGCACCTGAAGACTTGGGAACCCATTGTTTTTTTGTTTTTTGTTTTTTTAACTGCCCCCCAAAGGGGCAGGATTTTATTACATTTTCCACATAACATACACAAACAATCATAACATATACATACATATACATACATACTAACATACAAACAAATACATGGAGGTCATTCTTAATTCTTAATATTCTACCAATATTTATTCTAATACCTATTCCGCCTTAATAACAATTTCTCATGAACTGTGTAAGCAACTTTTCTGTCGCTATCATCCGAACAGGTATATAGTTCATTTAGTAAACTATTGGTCTGTCTCTTGCAAGCTTGCCTACATATGTTTGTCATACCAGTTATAAAACCGTGACCAAGTATTCTCAAATGTCGAATCTGTTGCGCCTTTTATCAATCAAGTCAATTTGTCCAATTCCACAGCCTCCAAGATTTTGTTTACAAGTTCTCGTTTTGTTGGTATCTCCAGTAATTTCCAATATTTTGCATAGAGAATTCTTGCAGCCGTAGTTAAAAAAAACAATCAAATAGCGATCATCTTTGTTAGAATTATCAGGTAGAATGACTTGGGAACCCATTGTTAATTGAGCCCAAGACAGGAAGCCGCGTTAGTCTGTCTGTAGCAGG